CCCACCCTCCAACCCCCTGCCCTCACCAAACTCCCACCGCTCCCAAAAGCCGCCACCTCGAGGCGCCCAGCGTCAAGCAGCATGCAGACTGTCACCGATGCCAGTTAACATCATTTTTAATCATCCAAAAGGTCGACCTTTCTTCTGCTCGCGCTCATTTGCTGATAACAGCCCAGTGGATGCCGCATTCCTCCGGGCCCTACCTGGGTAATGCGATCCCCGAAAATATTCCAGCTACCTGATTAAATTGTGTTTTTTTTCTTGACATACGCTCTTGAGCACAAGAGAAACTTGAGAGATGTGCCTTGCTGATGACCGCAATGATAACGCGGTAGAACTAGCATCGTTACGACCAGCAACGTTATCTTCAGGCTGACTCTTCTGAGTATCGAATCACTGTTTTTGTTTGGATTCGATTTGGTTTTGTTTTGTTTCATAGTTGACTGACATGGTTCTGTTCCATCTGTGACCAACAGGGGGCATCGGAGGGCTTCTCCTCCAGCGTCGCACCTGTTGGTCATCACGCCATTAGCTCTTTTCTGTTAAAAGCACAACCACGGCGACTACTCTTGGTTGGATCGTTGGGGTTTTTCAGGACTGATTCACTTTGTTCAGCCCCTGTAAATATTTGTTTATTATTTCGGGGTAATTCACATCATGAATGGGCGGAGACTAACAGAAAGACTGAGGGGGGACATTTTCTGATGTTTAAGTCTCATGACCCAGGATACTTTTGCAATCGCAACGCAGAAGGCTTAGCGACTAATCAGGCCAGCAGGAATGCGGAACAGCAAGTGTGAGGAGTAAGAGTGCTGGCAAATATGCCAAGCAGCGTTCAATGTGGAGTTCCATACGTCTCAGCTCACCTGACAATGAATGGATGGCGGTTCTGTCTGCTTTCCACATTGCCTTTTTGTTCGATTTCACTTTGAGGCTTGAGTTACATTTTTTGACCAGTGGTTGGATGTTGCATCGCTGGCCGTGACCTGGTCAGCTTGATGTCAGGCCTCCAACTTGGATAAATCCGTCTCTTGTTATTCACACGCTCCGAGTGGGAGGAAGAAAAGCTGTTCCAGACATTTCCGTGTGGTTCACTGACAAATCTGTTTAGTTCTGCATGGGAAGTGTTAGCGTGCTTGGATGCAAATAAAAACAGTTTGCAAGCGTGCCCGCTCCCTTCCTCACAGCTGTTTGCTGCCTCGATTCCGGCTTTTTGGTTCAAATTGTTAGTGTGATATTTTTAGTGAAGTGGTTCCTGAGTCATGAATTTTTTTTTTCAGGTTTGGCCAATTATTCCTGGTTGAGAATTGCAGGTTGAGTGAGCGAGCAGGAGACCGGTTGTGATTTGGGGTTTGGCTTTGACACAGCAGCGAGTGGTAGCGGTAGGAGGCAGGTGGGGAGAAGATTGAATAATACATATCGGGAGAGTTGGGACGCATTCGAGGTCCAAACATTAGCCAGAAAGTGCTCCATTAAGTTGTTGGAATGACAGATTGGTTCACCTTGATATCGTGGCTGCAAGCAGTCACGCCATCGTTTGATGAATACCCAGTGGAGACTTCAAAGTTAGACCAAATGCATTCCAAGAAACTGTTCAACATCAAGTTTGAGGTCCAGACATTTGTTCTCCAAATGTGGACCATAATTCCATCCGGTTTCTAAACGCACCCTCATTCGTTTCCTGATATCGCACCCAGTGCGACGCCCTTTACACTCTTATGGAATTCGAGTCTTCCTCATACACTGAAATTAAAAAATATATTTCTGAGTGCTACCGGGTGCTCCTGAACCAATACAAATGTTTCATCCATGCCCATTTTTAGACAGCAGAAAGTAGAATGAACACAAACAATAAAGAAAAAGTTTTGTCTGACACTCATAATCTGTTCTTTTACCCACTTCACTTTTTCTTTTACCTGTTGCCCCCCGAGTAGATTCAACCTTTCGCATATGATGAATCTATTTCCTGTGGGCTTCATGTATCGTCCCTTGACAATAGCAAAGTAATGAACATTTTTCCAAGATCCCAAGCCAAGATAGACACTCAACACATACATTCAAGCAATCAATCTTTGTTGCAAAAATATTTGACTCTCACGGGATGCTCAGTAAAGCCCATGTCCTGTCGTACTTCTTGGAAATGTTTTAGAGCTTTGACTGCGGGAGCACTTTGTGGCGATTTGGTGCACACACACGCCGCGAACGTATACAAGAGTGCTTATTCTGGCCGGGGGTGTGTTTGGTGTCCTCAATTCAGATGGTCATGGTGATGAATGAAGGAGGTCATGACCATGTTACTCTCTGCAGGGGCACGCAAGGGGTGTTTGATCATCACCAAACACGGGATTTACCGAATGATAAGTACAGAGTAGTTCTGAGACTCAAAGACCATGTCAAAGGAGAAGAGGTTTTAATGGCAGATAAATCCACTAAATATTATACTAAATATCTGGAGTCAATTGTTGTTTGTGTGTTGGGCCTTTTTTTTTTTTTTTTAAAGATAATTGACAATTTCAAGAATGCATTGGCGGGTCACAAATTAAAACATTTCGAACACACAATTTAGAATTTTTATTCCACCAGACTTTGTTAATGAGAACTTCTATTCAAATGACTTCGGTGAGGATGGACCAACAGATGCACTGCCTGGATATTCAAATATCCACCAGGCATAGACAAACACTGACATCTAGCGTTGGCATGGAGACCTGCGAGTTCATAATAATAATAATCATCATTTAAAAAAATAATCAGTAACTTTAATTTGATACATACAGTAGATCTAGAATTTGAAAATTGTAGTCACAAACGATTAATGTTTTTTCATTTTCCTTTATAAAATATAATATGGAGTGCTTAGAGTTATATGGTGCAGTAAGAGGAGATATTGCTTGCCCAGCTTCTACATTTCAAAAGAAGAAATGAAAAAAAAGAGCAACACTGAAAATAAAATTTGAATTAATTTTGATTTACCTGAAGAAATGTCATGTGAATATAGTGAGATGTAATCATGATGATGAAAAGAATATGATAAGATGACACATTTTGAATTGTTAATTGGTATCTTTGGAAGACCACACTTAGTTTAAGCAATTCCCTTCCTGGGCGTTTTTGTATGATTTGACAGTAATGTTGAACTTACCGCCACCTTTCCCCTTCAGACAGGTTTGCTTCTCCTTTGATTTGCTGTGCAGCCTGCGAACAAGGATCCGAATTCATCCAGGGTGGCAGAGAGCAGTTCTGAGAACAGAGACACAGTGTACGATCAAGGCTCTCCCAGTCTTACATAATGTCAACACAATTAGCAACATGAACTTCCGAAGGATTCGAGTAAATTCGAATGCAGCGGGCCAAAGTGCCAGCCTGATAAAATTGCTTCATGAGTGCATGAGGAGTCCGAGAGCCAGGACAACACAGATAATTAAGCAAATTGACTTTTTGATCAAAACAGTCTGTGTAAGATAAAGCAGAAAATAATGTGAAAATATATATATATATATATATATATATATATATATATAAAATGGATTTTTGGGGAGGTGGAGCCCAGACCGGACTCTCTTGAAAACCTTGCACACGTGTCCACATAATTCCAAAGAAAGGCTGCTTTGCAAAAAAAAAATAAAAAATTCCAAGCTCCACAAACATTTTACTGTAAATTAAATGTAGTAAATATCACCAGATATGTAGATTATTAAATATATAAACTGTGAAACTGTGTGCATTTCTCCATAGACTTATTTTGCAAGTCAAACAATTTTGCTCAGACGACCTAAAAATACGAATGCCATTTTGAGCCTGCTGGTTGGCCCTGTGTGGCAAATTTGAAATCACCCGTTGATTCTGAAAGTCATAAACAGATTAGATTTGACCTGGCAACACATAGAGGATGAAATACTGATGGAGCAAAACAATCGAACATAGTCGTACTAGAAGCAATGCAATCAAGAGAAATGTTAAAAAAAATTGAGAAATAAATACAATTTAATTGCACAATATTGGGATTTAGGTTGTAAATGTACTTTGGTGCTTCTGACAGTGTTTAGGTCAGTGGAGGCTTTGCTGGCCTTGAGGCCTCACAAAGCAGTCACACTATAATTCCTCTTTTATATATTTTTCTGTTTCTTGCTCGTTTCATTTTTGATATCAATACTTTGCATACATGTTTGTACTAGAGAAGAAGTTCAGTTCATTCAGTGTCATTGTTCACAGTGACAATAAAATGCATTTTTATCTCGTCGAACCCGAACGGCAACAAACGTTTCCATATCTGTCCAGCAGGGGACGCTAAATGTTCACATTTGCGTGGCCAAATCAATCCCACAATCCCCACACAGCGGCGGTGGATGCATTTGAATGGTTCAAAAACTTCCGAAACGCCAGCGAACGCTTAACAAGAGTTGGCCTTGTACAGTGCAACCAGTTTTTCACCACTTGGACTGACAGATCTGAAGAGAATACATGCCACCTGACACACTGCCTTGGTTGGTATTTAAATGCGGCGTTTGAATATCGATAGTGGCTCGGTGGTACCGGTACAGTACTATTTCAGGCAGAGATGTCAAGACAGAGGTGAGATTGTTTTGATGGGAGTTTATCACCCTGGATCCAAAGAAAGCTACCGCTGTCTCACTGATGAGTCATACAGACACAGGGTGTGTTTGTGTGTGTGTGAGTGTGTGTGAGAAGAAAAAACGCTCTTACTAAGAACAGGTACTGTACTGCAAGAGAGAGAGAGAGAGAGAGAGGGCTTCCTGACTTGGCCTCATATACTCGCTCACATCATCTACACATGTACCTAACTGAGAAGTTGTCGTTTGTCATACCGTCCACAGTCATGTGAAGTGGCGGCACGGTGGTCGACTGGTTAGCACATCCGCCTCACAGTTCAGAGGTGCAGGGTTCGATTCTGCCTCCTGTGTGGCGTCTGCGTGTTCTCCCAGTGTCTGCGTGGGTTTTCTCCGGGTTCTACGGTTTCTTTACACATCCGAAAAACATGCATGGCAGGTTAATGGAACACTCGAAATTGTCCCTATTGTGAGCGGCAATGTTTGTTCGTCTATGTGTGCCATGCGATTGACTGGCAAACCGTGCAGGGTTGTCTCCCCCCGCCTACTACCCGAAGACAGCTGGGATAGGCTCCACCACGCCCGCGACCCTCGTGAGGAAATGCGGATAACAAAAATGGATGGATGACGTGAAGTTGTGCAGCAGGTTTCTTGCTCACGTCAGCTTCTTCTTGTCATCGTCGTCATTGTGGCTATTTTTAACAGCTTTCACTCCTGCTTCCAGCCGCCGCTTATGATGACTCAGGAATAGAAATTTTCTCTGTGGCATAAGGGCATGCTCAGTATGATCGTAAAATAACCCCGGATGATAACCCATTTTAATGTGTTTGTTAATCGACTCTAGTTTCCACTCTGGGTGCCGATCTCACACCTATAGAGAATGTGTCATCGAAATTGAACCTAACATGCATGTTTTTAGTAAGTGGGAGTTAGGAATGCTCAGAATCAACCCCCAAACCACAGATCGATGAGTCACTAGCTAACCACTCGCCTCTTGCCCAAAGACAGCTGAGGATGACCATAAGGAGGACGAGCCCTCTACGAAATGGTGTATTGTTTATGTTGTACTGAGCAGCCAGGACACTGTTGAGATAAGTTCCATTTCCTGTTCTTACGTCATCATCAATATTTTTTTCCCTCATCTTCACAGACATTTTGTCCCATGCATTTGTCCTCACATATGTGCAAAAATGACCTGAAAGTTTGACTTTTGTTGTGCCATTCGGTGCCATAGCTTGGGAACATTTAATAACTGACGAGAGATTCCTTCAAAGTGCGAGGTCAACCGTGTATTCTTGGCAGAGGTGTATCACTGAAAGGGGGTAATTCATTTTTACGAGCTACTCTGCGCATGCATTCTCATTTGCATTTTTATGTGTTGTGTTTCTCGTTTTATGTGAAAATATATATATATATATATATATATATATATATATATAAAATGGATTTTTGGGGAGGTGGAGCCCAGACCGGACTCTCTTGAAAACCTTGCACACGTGTCCACATAATTCCAAAGAAAGGCTGCTTTGCAAAAAAAAAATAAAAAATTCCAAGCTCCACAAACATTTTACTGTAAATTAAATGTAGTAAATATCACCAGATATGTAGATTATTAAATATATAAACTGTGAAACTGTGTGCATTTCTCCATAGACTTATTTTGCAAGTCAAACAATTTTGCTCAGACGACCTAAAAATACGAATGCCATTTTGAGCCTGCTGGTTGGCCCTGTGTGGCAAATTTGAAATCACCCGTTGATTCTGAAAGTCATAAACAGATTAGATTTGACCTGGCAACACATAGAGGATGAAATACTGATGGAGCAAAACAATCGAACATAGTCGTACTAGAAGCAATGCAATCAAGAGAAATGTTAAAAAAAATTGAGAAATAAATACAATTTAATTGCACAATATTGGGATTTAGGTTGTAAATGTACTTTGGTGCTTCTGACAGTGTTTAGGTCAGTGGAGGCTTTGCTGGCCTTGAGGCCTCACAAAGCAGTCACACTATAATTCCTCTTTTATATATTTTTCTGTTTCTTGCTCGTTTCATTTTTGATATCAATACTTTGCATACATGTTTGTACTAGAGAAGAAGTTCAGTTCATTCAGTGTCATTGTTCACAGTGACAATAAAATGCATTTTTATCTCGTCGAACCCGAACGGCAACAAACGTTTCCATATCTGTCCAGCAGGGGACGCTAAATGTTCACATTTGCGTGGCCAAATCAATCCCACAATCCCCACACAGCGGCGGTGGATGCATTTGAATGGTTCAAAAACTTCCGAAACGCCAGCGAACGCTTAACAAGAGTTGGCCTTGTACAGTGCAACCAGTTTTTCACCACTTGGACTGACAGATCTGAAGAGAATACATGCCACCTGACACACTGCCTTGGTTGGTATTTAAATGCGGCGTTTGAATATCGATAGTGGCTCGGTGGTACCGGTTGGGATGGTTAAACGGAAAGGTTTTGAGCGGCGAGTTTGTTCACACTTAGCAGCCTTGCTAAGTTGCTTATGTTTCATGGCTAAGTTCAATGCTAACAGCTGCAGGTGGCTAGCTGGAGACTTTTAAGTTCATCGGATGTTACCAACTCCGGTGTTGTAAATGTCACGCGATGATCTGCTGCCGTGTTGTTGTTACCACGGTTGAGAGGAGTATTTTATGGTAAGGAGGACATCTGTTAAGCTAGTTGAGCTAATGCTAATACGAGCAGCGTAATAGGAATCCCGTTGTGTTTGCGTTTGGCGTGTTGTTTTTGTTTTTTTTTGGGTGCGGATCTAATTTGCATAGCTACGAACTACATTCAAGTAATACCATTAAACGAAGACCCATTTCTGTCCGTCCACGATTTGATATCTGACACATCGCCCTGTACTATTTTTTTTCTTCTCCTTTTATAGTGTATCTAAATTGTGACAAGTGCTTTTCTATCAGCGGCAGTTCCCAAAGGTCAAGAAAAAGCCCTCCGATGGCCTCTTGTGATCTCGCCTGCATCTTTCAAAGACCATGAAGCAGGTATGGAGCGTGTCCTCCAGTAGCATGTCCTATTGTGTAAACAGCGTGTTTTGTTTAGAAATGCCTCGTGACAGTGAACTAGTACATTGTAGTGCAGTGGTATTGTTGCAGTAGAGACGTGGCCGTAGTGGCCTCATCCCCTATCCTTCTGTTTTAGGTGGATATTAGAAATAAGGACGAATTAGATAAGGAAAGGTAAGTCTTTGATCCATGTCTCTAGGGATGTGTCACACAGTTAACCCCCTTTAGTCACTGGACCTTCAAAACACCTCTTTATAATCTGGCATTGACTTACGGTTTCTTACAATGATGTGAAATGCAAACATATTTCCCCTTATCGACAGATACAAAGTGCACAGTCCGGGCAAGGAAAAGAGGTCCTCACTTTACAAGAGGAAGAGGTCTGTATCCCTGGAGGTGGGCTTGAAGCTGCACCGTAAAACATCCAATGTTGGTCGAGCCCGTAACCCCGGCATGGCCAATAAAGAAAATGAGGTGACATGCTCGGATGTGCGGGGCAATCACTACAAAGTTAACTACAGCCCTCCTGCGAGCGCCGCGGTCTCCAAGATGGCAGGGCCCAGCTCCAAGTACAATGACTTTACTGAGGTCAGAATCCTCAGTTGAAGCATCAACTTGAGACCTTATTTTGCTCTAGTAACAAACACCCTTTCTTTGTTTTCCCATAGCTGTCAAAGGACCACGAAGCAGTGTCTCACATCCTCTTCGGAAGGAATCTTCGACTTAAAGTGGCCCTAACGCTATGGCGAAGAAACGCTATTGAATTCGTGGCTTATCTAATTATGTACAACGCTCGCTGTTCATACTGCACGTTTTGTTGTCGGCACTTTGAATTTTCATTGAAATCTTACCTCAGCGCTCTCTGATCCACAGAATTCAAGACACAGGAGTGCTGCTTGATCTGTTACCCTTCATAACAAACGAGTGAGTCTCTGATTTTCCCGGGAGTTGTGATTGTTTTTGAGACTCAAACTTTTACCATCACAAGGCCCTTACCTAAAAAGATTTCCTTTTTTTTCTTTTTGTTTGTGTGTGTTTCGTCAGCCTTCAAACCGAAGCATCGTGTTTTTCTATCGGATGCTGTGTTGACCTCATACCCCAAGTCAAAGTGATTCTTACCAGCAAATATGAAGAGTAAGTGCCGTGTATTTAAGTGGCTCAATGACGGTCACCCACTGGTGTAAAGTGACTGTTTTCACTCACCCAGTTTGTATTAGCAGAAAAAAAAGAGCTGCTCTCGTACATCATTCTACTGAAAAATCATAGCTGATCTTTTCTTGTTGACATTTATGTATGTTTTGTCCTTTATTAGACACATAATTGTGGGTTTACACTGGGTTCAGGCTGTCATCAGGAAATGGTGGCCAGACCTTTCAAAGACAGAGAAAAGACTGCTGGACAGTTTGGACAACAGGTGGGAGCTTCATGTTGATATTGCGTGGCTGCCGAATAGCACGAGCTATTCTTTCCTTTTGCTTCATCGTGTAACTGGTCATGCAAGATAAGACCAGCATGTGATTACGCTGCTACTGAAGTAGATTAAGGTTGCTTCGAGGGGAAAAAAAGACCAAAGTCAACACATGCCGCGTTGGTTGATTTTGTGTTTTTTTTCCTTCCCACCCCAGAAACATTGTGGTCTTGAAGCAACGTCTAAGAGACTTGTGGAAGGACGGAGCCAGGCTATGTCTGGTTTCGGGTTCTACTGGCGACCTGGCAAAGGTGAGGAAAAAAAAAAATCATTGTCGTCGATGTCTTGGGGTGTCGACCAAAATGTTAGTTGGGATTTTGTCAGACCACGTAAAGCTGTTAATCTTGTTTAGATGCTCAATTTCCAGCTTAGTGAATGTGTGCTGTACTGTTCGTAGTGGCCCTCGCATTAAGAAAAGATAACATACTTGAAGCCTGTTAAGTTGTTTATCTTGGACAAAATAAATGATTGTTAAAACAACCCGCATCCTGCTGCTTTAGGATGTGCGTAGTCCAGCCAGTTGTTAACAAGCCTACACCTGCTCGGTATGTGAAGAAGCTTCACAGGTTACCAGATTGGTTGTTTCATTGAGTATATGCCAGAATGGGTCCAAATGTGGCTACTGTATACACTTAAACATTTTAAGTTGATTACATTTGCACTTCAACATGAGACCATTTGTGCTACTTTTGCATGACACCGTGGCCCAGTACAACAGGATTTTCAACCAAATTAAAATTTCAAGATGAACTCTTGAGTTTTCTTGTATTTCTTTCTTCTGTAAATTAATTTTAAAAGTATGTACCTTGTAGCGGCACGGCGGTCGACTTGGTTAGCACGTCGGCCTCGCGGTGCAGAACTGCAGGGTTCGAGTCCGGCTCCGGCCTTCCTGTGTGGAGTCTGCATGCTCTCCTCGTGGCTGCGTGGGTTTTCTTTGGGTACTCCTTCCTTTCACATTACAAAAACATGCGTGGCAGGTTAATGGAGCACTCTAAATTGTCCCTAGGTGTGACTCTAAGTGTGAATGATTGCTCGTAGATGTGTGCCCTACGATTGGCTGGCAACCAGTTCAAGGTGTACCGCGCCTACTGCCGAAGACAGCTGGGATGGGCTCCAGCACGCCCGCAAACCTTGTGACGATAAGCGATTTAAGAAATGGATAGACGTTACTTCTTTTGGCCCATCCTCCCCAGTTAGTCTTACAGTTGTGTATATTAATATTAGCACTTAGCAGTGTTTTACATGCAGCCAATGGTATTAATGTTCCTGATCTCAATGTTGCAGGCCATCGAGGCGTACGTCCTTCAGCTGCCCTGACTGTTGTCCATGTAGCACTCCGAGGATGTGACCACTACTGCCGGATCACGGCTGTGTTGTCCGTATGGATGATAACATCCTGCATCAAGACTGGATCAATGTTTTGTTACTCAAAACCTCCAAACTGAAAATGAACTTGACACATCAAAAAAAACTCGTTATCGCTGGAGACACTTAAAGCAGGGCTGGGAGCACATGTCTGCAGCCGAAAGCACAGCGAGTGACTGCTTCACATTGAAGTGGACCGTCTCAGGAAAAGGGGGACATATCGTGGACCTCCATGAGACTGGATATATGTCACTCTATGTAGTGCCAAGCTTGTTGTGTCTCACTACATCACTTGTCGCCAAGGAATGCAAATGCACTTGGATTCATGAATGGCCCGCTGTTTGGATGTTTCTAACCTGCGTTCTTTGGAATCAGGAACTTGAAGAGTTGCATCAGTCTTAAGTTATGAGTGTGCATCATGTGTGTTCTCCATGTGTGTCATTTGAACTTGATGTCAAGCCAATTTATTTTAATCTTTTAAATAAACATGAGTAAAATATTTTTTCCCTCTACTTTGTTATTATGGTTGCCGTCCACGGGGGTTTTAGCCCGAAATGAAACCATTCCATAAAGGGGCAAAATATAAAACGCCAACAAAAAACATCGCATTACGAGAAAGCGCCCTTCAAAAATAAGCGCTTTTATTACATCATCATCAGACAGGAAGTTGGAAAAAAAATAAAGCTTTGGCTCTGAGGTGACGTCATTGTCCGTGCCGGCAGCAGATGCGCAGTTCACAACTCGAAGAACAAGTTCATGCCGACGCGCTCGCCTTTTAAGCCGATTTTGATTGAATATTGACAGTTACGGTTTCCAGCATGGGAAGAATACACCTCTCGTGGCTTTTCCTTCAGGCTGCGCTCGTCGTGGCTTCGTGTTTCACCGATATGGAAACTGGGCCTGGTGCAGGTGTATCGACGCAGACCACCGCCGCAGATCGGTTCAAAATCGAGGGAAGGGCGATCGTTCCAGGGGTAAAAACACAAGACTGGGTCTCCACGGCGCGAGTTCTTGTAGACGGTGAAGACTACGTGGGTTTTTTGAGGTACAAATCCTGAACTGATATATGTGCTGACGAAATAACTGCAACGTAGCATTAGCGAGCTAGTTAGTTTCCACCGAGCGAATTTGACATTATTTGGCCCTCGCACGACTCGTCCTTCCAGGCTTTGCTAGTTTACTGCAAAAACTACATTTTAATTCAACTGCCATTTTCGACTCGTCTTTGTCATATGGAACACTGTTTACGATTTGGAGAGGTCAGGCCTGGCAGCGTCCGTTTGGCTAATGCTAGCATAACAAACAAGCAGCTAGCAGAGAGTCGTTTGACTTTGGGAAATAAAAGTAAATCACGTACGTAACGTAAAAAAAGCACGCTTATATACACTTACAGATAAGCACAGAATAATCCCAACAAAGCAAATACCTAGTCACGTAGTCAAGGTCCGGTCCTCGGGGGTCGGTGTCCTGCATGTGTTCCATCGCCTGCAGCAACACACCTGATCCAAATGATCAGCTCCTGATCATTTGAGGACCGGACTTTGACACCTGTGACCCAGTGCATCATTTTCTATTTACAGTACCTCTGATTCATTAGAAATTAGTGGCGTGGAGTTTTGTCAGTAACACTGGTAATAAATATTATATTCCCCTTCTGAACACATATTACATGTATTTTCAGGACATAGACGAACAGGACGCTGTGTACCAGTGGTTAGCACGTCTATGTAACAATTAAGCATTTCTCTGTGACTTTGCATGTTTTCCCTTGATGCTCAAGCTTCCTGCAATTGACTGGTGACCAGTCCAACCCCTCACCCAAAGTTAGCTTGGATACGCTCCATCATATCTGTGACAAGCACTGTAGAAAATGGATGCACAGATTGACCAGATTGTGGTCTATACACGTTACTTACATTTGTTTTACGCTTCTTTTGCAGAATGGATGGGAGTTTTGCAGTCAACGATGTCCCCTCCGGGTCTTACGTTGTAGAAATTGTCACTCCAGGATACCGATTTGAGCCTGTGCGTGTTGATATTACATCCAAGGGGAAAATGAGGTAAGTGCCGCCCGCCCATTTAAGTCTTAGTTTGTTTTCACTTGCCCTGCTTGAGTTGTCACTTACGTTGCTGTCTGTTGTTCTACAGAGCACGCCTTGTGAACTACATTAAGACTTCAGAAGTGATCCGCCAGCCATATCCTCTCCAAGTAAGAGCAAGTGGCTTACACAGCTACTTCATGAAGAGGGAAACCTGGGGCTGGACTGATTTCCTCATGAACCCAATGGTAAAATATTAACCTATTGGTCACAATCAGAATAATAATTTTGTTTCACGCTTCTGCACAGATGGAATATATTGTGGTCGACTGTGACCAGTTGTCTTTTGTGACCTGTGCGACACAGTTATGTGCTGTATTTATTTATCTAAAAAAAAAACTTAACAGTAAGAAAAATGATTTTCATATTCGAGCTGTAATGGCTTACCGGTATATGTCCTGATGGGGGCAGTGTGGTGGTAGACTAGCATTTGTTTCTTGCTCCAATATTTTAATTCTCCAACTTTGTTGCACGTGCAGGTTATGATGATGGTGTTGCCATTGCTGATTATTGTTCTACTGCCCAAAGTGGTCAACACTAATGACCCCGAAATGAGGAAGGTAAGAAGATCCTTTAAAAAAAAAAAAAAAAAGAAGTGGGAGGACATGTAATGTATTCTTAAAGGAGCAAATCAATTAACCTGATTTCATAGGGATTTGACTCCTTCGATTGGCTCACTAACGTCAGCGATGTGGTAAGCGATGTTTTCTTACTTTCCGTCACAGGAAATGGAGCAATCCATGAACATGCTCAACCCCAACCCCGAGCTCCCAGATGTGTCTGAGCTCATGACAAAGCTCTTCTCGGGCTCCAAGGGCTCCAGCAAGGCGGGCGGTAGCAGCAAGGGCACCAGACCAGCTGTCAAGAGGAGGTAGTACACATAGCTCATATGCCTGGAGAAAAAGCACGTCAAGTCACGTACGCAGGATTGTTAAGTGTCCCCCCCTGTACAGTTCTCTCTATGAACAAATGTTAACTATTTAAAATGTACAAATACATTTTTTTTTTGTTTATTCAGTTCTAACAGAATTCACAAGCAGTTTTTCTTCACTTGCTGCCAACGTGTGATTGTAATTCTTTCCAATCTTTTCTGTGCTGATCCTTTGGTGTGCTTTGCTGCTAATTCCACAACATCTGTACACGTTGAGGTATTTTTTTTTCAGTCATGTGACTGTGAATGAGGATACATTGAATTAACTTTAAAGACTGAAAAGCTTGGATAAATAAATTGCAACTGTCTGTAAAAACAATGATTCCATGTGTCTTGTGTGAAAGTTATCCTATTTTATTTTGTGTGTAAATGAGTACAGATAAAGACTGTACAGTGGCTTCATCAATAAAATTACTCTTAATATTTTTTTCTAAATTGGGCAATATAAGGTATACACAGGTCAACTGAAAAAAGACGTAGACGAGATTGATGCCCCATTTTAGAGATGAGAAAATGCGGCATTTTGTGCAACCTACCTTTTTTGCTACTTGCTGATAGAGGAAAAAAAAGAGGGCAGTTGTATAAGATATCACAATGACATTTATTAAATGAGCAAAAGTGTCAATCAAAAGGGCTTTTTAGTTGTCCTTTTTGCAAGTTCAGAACACAGGGCGCTGCTAGTCTTTTTTGCCCTTTTTTTTAAAGCATGTTAAGATGTGAATTCTGAAGAACACAAAAAAAATGGTGTTAAGATCCCTAAAAGATTGCCTCACAAAAAGTAAAAACTTCACGGGGCCAAGTAAATGCACAATTATATGTCAGGAAAAATGTTAATTATTACAAAGTGTGGACATGGTCACCTGTCAAACAAACGGAGAGTGGTGGGAGGCCATGTTACAGTTTACCACCATGTATTTCCAATTTGCCCTGGACAGGCGTTTCAGATACAGCTCTTGTATTGGACCTCACGACGTGTGAAACTTCATTTTCTGAGCTCGGCTATGTGCTTACCTTCACGATTTAGCCGTCATAAAACCACTGAATAAAATCTCTACCGAGTTAATTATTTCAACTGAATATATCAGGACACACGGGCTGTGTTCAAGACAAAATTGTAAGCCTGTGACAGAATTTCTCATTTCACTCTTCTAATTTTTACACACAGATTCACTTTCACTGAACTGCACAGACAATGACCACAGAATCGATCACAAAATGGCATTCGACCTCTGAGCGAAAGGCACAGAGTTTGACATGACATCATCAAAAGTCTGCAATGATTCTTATATTACAGCGTCAGACATCAATCGTCGAGAAATACGGCAAGCCAGGCGTTATGGATACTGCACTTGATATAGTAGTTGTTGACACCTGACATTGAATAGTTTTCTGTACTTTAATATGAATGTCGATAAATAAAGCAGATGACCAATTCATTTTGAATGTCATATTACCACCGTTGGAAGTAATGCAGATCAAGAGATTAGCCCTCGGAACAAAATGCACTGCAACCAGTACGATGGAAAAAGGAAAGGAAAAGTTTGTTGATTCAAGTCATTCAGCCTTACTGTAAATGACTCATTAACAGGAAAAATCTTTTTTTAAATTTCAAGCCGACATTGTGTCATACTTGTGTATGTTTGAAAGGAATTTCACATTTAAAAACATGCAGCCTTTATGATCCCACACACAACATTGTCACTTTGGGTGCCAAGAACGCAAATAACTTAACAGCTAATAAAAATAAAAATAATACACTTGTTCAAGTTTCTTTCTTACTGTTATTTTGTAATCTAATAACTGCGGAGGAACATCTGATTCATTTAAAATGTCCTGACCGACGTGTATTTCACAAAAATAAGTCAAATAAAGAAATCACATGCAGCACTTCATGCCGACGACACAATAGACCATATCGGGAAGAGCAACGTGATGACAAAAGCAACTCGTGTGCCGTGATACTGGCGGACATTGGTGGTCTACCGGTTCCCGTTGCTGACCGACATTTCCCACTTTTGATGCCCCCCTTTACAAACGCCCCCGAACAGCGGCCGGACCACGACTCTGCCACGACGCAGGTAAACGGGCAACAAAACCACGAGTTAACCATCAAGTCATTTTGTGGTTGACATTCGCGTTCTGTCCGCACCAGTACAGCTTGTCCTCACCTCTCTTCCTCCTCCACTGGCACAGCAGAAGCATACGGAAGGTCTTCTGGAAGGTCTTGTTGCACAGGGCGTAGCACATGGGGTTGACGGTGCTGTTGACGTAGCACAGCCAGTAGCCCAGGTGCCAAAGGGACGTGGGGATGCACGTGGCACAAAACGTGGAGATCAGCACCATGATATTGTACGGAGTCCACGTGAGGATGAACGCCAGCAGAATGGCGCTGAGGGTCTGGGCCGCCTTCTTCTCCTTCACCAGCACCATTCGCTTCCTCTTGGTGATCTGGTTCTTGAGGCCCGCGTCCATCGGCTTGGAGGCAGTGGAGGGGGAAGGCGAGGCGTTTTTCCGCTCGGCATCGGGAGGTGGAGGAGCTGCCGGCGCAGGACTGCCTCTTATACCCTTTGAGCCAGGTGTGAACTTATACGAAATGCACTTTTTACTACTCTCCTTGGAGGGGGTTGAAAAATACTGATCATCTGTGTAATCCGTCGCTTGGCCGTTCTTGTCATTTGGACCGTTATCTCTCAAAGAGCCTTGCGGGGTCTCGATGGAAACGTGACGCTCCTCCTCGTCAGATGAGGAGTAGCTATTAAAGGAGGCAATCTGGTCAGCTTTCACCCACACTTCATCTGACCTAATGGTGGTTTTTGTCACGTTACTTTGGTTGGAGGACGACCAGGAAGCCTGGCTCCTTTCTCTCCTCTCTCTGGTGAAACGGAAACAAGAGCGAATGGTGGGTTTTTGCGGTTGAGCTCCCTCGGAGACATGATCGCTTGTGAGCCCTTGCAGCTCTGCCAGATCCTTGGTCCGCTTCTGCGTCTCCTTGTAGATCCTACAGTAGAGAATAGTCATGACAGAGACTGGGATGTAGAAAGCGGCAATGGCTGTCCCAAATGTGATCACTGGCTCTGTTAAAAACTGAATCTGGCATTGGTCCTCGGATTCCTTTTCTTCCCCTACAATGTACTTCCAGCACAGAATTGGCGGTGCCCAAAGGACAAACGACACCAGCCACGCAAGGCCTATCATGAGGGCGGCCCTCTTTGGAGTCCTCTTTGCCCTGTAAGTCAGCGGCCTCGTGATGGAGAAATATCTGTCAAAGCTGATGACCAGTAAATTCATCACGGAAGCGTTGCTGGCTACATAGTCCACAGCTAGCCAGAGATCACACGCGAGGCTTCCTAAGGACCAGTAACCCATCAGTATATATGTCGTGTATAAGTTCATGGAGAGCACTCCGATAATGAGGTCTGCAAAAGCCAAACTCAGTAGGTAGTAGTTGTTAACCGTCTTCAGCTGACTGTTAACTTTGAAGGACACCATGACCAAAACGTTACCAACAATCGTGATCAAGCTTACAATGGCAGAGACTGTTGCTATGGTGATAACCTCCCAAAGGCTATGAGGGGCAGCCTGGGTATGCGTTGTGTTGTCAAAAGTGCTGTTTGGAGGATCGACATCCATGATGGTGTGCTAGTTGCCCCGTTGGTGGTTGAAAAATTTGCTGGAAGGTCTTCTCTGCGGCTTCATGGAGAATAAAATTATCCTGTGAAATAGAAGGAAAAGATCAAGACACAAAGATAAAGCCATTTTTATGCAATCTGGGGTCATAAGGGGCTGCTTGGTGACCAGGGGCAATTTTAATGTATTTATTTTACAATTACTAAATTCTCATTGCGTTTACATTGTCTGAAAATGTGTCGCTTATTACCAGTCAGGCAGGCCGTTAATTAGATTACGGGCTCTGATAAAGTAATGTTTCTGTTTCTGTGTTGAAACCAAGTAGCTAATTGAATGTTTACTTTCTTGTCCATTTTATAACGTATTGCCTGTTATTAAAATTATATGCAGATCCAATATTTGTGATTGTTTTCGATTGGTAAAAACACCAATGAACCCCGGAACTGATTTCACGTTGCATTGCGTGTTTGGCGGGACACTATTCGATATAACACCAACACAGAATTTTAGGTACGACACGTAAAGCGGTCCGATGGTCAAAGTGGGCTGTCATGGAAGGTAAACCTAACAGAGGCAGAGGAGGCGGTTGGAAAAGAGGTGGCCGCGGTGGAAACGACGGCGATAAATTTGGCGGAGATCGCAGAGGCAGAGGAGGCCACCACCGCGGCCGGGCCAAAAAAGATCACCACCGTGGTCGCGGACGTGGGGGCGATGCACATGCAACGGAATTCCAACACTGGGTAAAATGAGTCCGCTCTCCAAAAGTTGACTGCAAACCTGAAACATGCGGAAAGATGGACTTTAGATTCTTTCGTCGTTGTTAAAGTTCGATAGCCATATGCTGCCCGTACTCCAACACGATTGATTCAAACGATCAGCTCATCAGCAAGCTCTGCAGAAGCTTGAAACGATCGTGATCGTTTGAATCAGATATACAGTATTGCCGTTCGGATGGATCGACACCGTCACTGAGAAACACACTTCCAACTTCAGCCTTTTGCTGACATGATATTAATTGAAACAAAACAAGTCTCTTTTTATGCCGTGCAACTCAGCATGTGATAAAAATCACACCAGTCCTCATAATGCGGCGTGGAGGTAATACAGGAAATCTTGCCAGCTTGTGTAGTTTGATTAAGGCTAAATAATCAAACACTTGAATTATGTACACATTTGATCACTCAGCGCCTGCACCGCATCCGTGGTCCTTGTTTGCTGTGAAAATGACACTAGACTCCGAGAGGATTCTTCACTTCTTCCGGCTGGTTCTGTCAGCTAATTCCCGTGTTGTTATAATGGCAGAGTCAGAAAAGAAACAATAGGGGCCCAATGATTGCAATCAAAGAGACCTCCTTTGGGATTTATGGCCCTGCTTGATTGCAATCATATAAAAATCCCCCTGAGGGCATCTCTTACAAGCCTGTGGTCCTCTATTATTGTTTCAGGTAAACATGAACACTGCTTTGTTTCTTGTTGATTTTGTGGCAAGAGGAAAACTGAACTAAGAGACTTCCACTAGTTTTGACATAAATACAATTAGTCCTTTGCTTATATATCATGTGCACAAATTATTCAAATGCAACCAAGCGCATGATGATCATGTGACAGAATGTTTTCAAATTCAGTTAAGCAGTCTCAGCTATTGTGATTCTCTATCCACATTTTGCTGAATCAGCAAATTCCATCCATCTTCCACCGGCTGGTGTGCAAAAAAATTGATGTTATAATTTTTTTGAATCCCTTCTTCCTCATTTGCATCTTTTGTCAGGACCAAGTTGAGGGTGACTCTCAAGAAGAGGGTCAAAGTGCCGTTTTCTCCCGGAGGAAACTGGAGTCCAACTGGGACCGGTACGAGGACTCGGAGAAGCAGGAAACCACTGACAATCTACCCACTCAAAGAGGAACTGACTACCATGTCCTTCTGGGGTCTGCAGGTAAGATCCCCCAAAAAGCTGTCATTTTAGAAGCCATCATCTTGAAAAGTACTAATGAAATGGCGAAATGATTGGCCTGCGAAATTATGTCAAATTGTTTCGGTGACACCTTGTATAATGACTTGAACAGAAAATAAAACATTGGACTAAAAGATTACTGCGTTGTTCATATTGACTTGCACATTTATTTTTATATTCCTTTGCTTCCCTTGAGGTAAACAGATGGAAATTTGCCTGTGTCAAATATTCCACCGAGTCTGACTGCACTTGTCTGAGGTTGACTCGGTAATCCCAATTAGTGAACAGGAAATGTGTTGTTGTCTTCGGGGACCTTTTTAATTGCCTTGTATGGACACTGCTTTCAGATGGCCACAAAAAACAAAAACATTTATTTCTTGTTTGTTATACACATACTAAAAAAAAAAAAAAAATCCTTTCAGCCGTAACGCTTTTCGTATTTCTTTCTCGAGTAACTTTGTTTTATGAGTATTGTAAATGCATGACTATGGATGCACCTCTGCAACTCGTGATAGCGACTTTTGGTTTTATTATTTATGAGGAAGAAGGTAATAAAGTTGGGCTCAAGCCTTCTGCAGAATTAGCATTTAAATACTTTTTATTTTAGTAATCGCTTGTCTCTCCTTTTTTTGGAAGTGGGGGGTGACCTAAAACCTCACTCTGAATTTCAGGGCAAGCTGCCTCTGATTTGCATAACTATTTGTGACCAAAGTTGTTTTCTGTGTCATCCCAGCACAGCTGTGACCTACACTTTGGTAGCTGAGCTAAAGTTTGATTCCGTCTAATTTTAACTTTGTGTGGTCCCCTTTTAGGATGGAACAAATGTATTGCGGATGAGACAAATCATGATCGACCAAATTGTGCATATTGATCTTTTTTTTCTTGTTTGTTCCTTTCAGTCATAACGCTTTTCCTGTTGTGTTTGGCTCAGATTTTGTGTTCATATATATAGACATATTTATTTTACTGTCAATGACTTTCAAAATCATTATGGGCAGTCAGTTCTGAGGTATTTCATCGTAATAAGTCTGAGCTATCTTTGTGCATTTTTCGTCTTCCTGCTATTTTTATAGTTTGGAGAGTGTTCCAATGATGCATCAACCTCGGACTTTCTTTTATAGCGCACATGGCAAAGGTGCTCTCGCGACTTGTGCGGCTCAGTATCCCTTGTCTGTTTTTTTTTTTTTGCCCACATTGTCAGATTAGTCATGCTGTACAACAAGAGGCCGATGCGCTCGAGAGAATACTTAATTGTATGTGGGAGGCAATGTTTTTGTAGCCAATTAAGCTAGCCCTGAAATCAGGGATACAACATCAAAATGTCGTTTTGCAGCTTTGAAATGACACAGAACACAAATGAACCATCAGGTTTTGCAACAGTTGTAGAAATGTAGGCGGTGAATCTGAAAAGTCCAATGTTGGTCTGCTACCAAGAGTCACACATAATTCACGCTAATTAGCAGCCTGTATGACACATTTACAAGTTATGAAGCCCCAAATCACCTGAGGAGTTGACACCAACTAATTCTTGCTAATTGTAATCTATGTTGAAGGGAATCAAGAGCCAGAAAAGGATTAAAAAAAAAAAAAGTTTTTGGTTGAGCTTGGGGAAGGTTCAATGACGCGTGGTTAGTGTTCACAAACGCTGAGTGGGCTTTATTTTTTCCTGATTCCTTCCTCAAACGGTTTTGAATTTGCTGAGTCTTGGTGCGTCCTGGAGTAAGCGCACACCTCTCACTGTGACATTACCGGTAGTCAAATGTTGAAAACTATTTCTGAGTCAAATTTAACCTTTGGAATCACTTTATATGCTGTAGTACGTACACGTGGTAGATGCAGCCTAAAATGTTCAGTGGAGTTATATAATCTACATTTATATAATCCTATACTGCGGCTTTTTATTAAAAAAAAAAAAAAAAAAAAAAAAAGGAAGCGGATGCCACATGTCCTTCCTTTTGAGAGTTCTGTGTTTCAAGGGTTAGAAAACATTTTGTTGGTGCCCCATGGTTTGACTTTTTACAGTAGGTAGCACCTGCTGCTGAGCCAAAACACTGAAGTTTATTGTTGCACTGTGATCCCTTCTGGTTTCCATCCACTTCCAGGTTCACAAAGGGATCCTCTAAGTCATTTTCATTGCTTTTCCCAACTTAGGCCGAGGCTATTACAAGCAAGCGACCTTGCTGATATTGCTCCTTGAAATATTTCAAGACCCCATCCGTGTCTTTTCAAATCAATTTTGTGTAGAAAGATTGCTGTCGCCCGAACAAGCCGTTCAAAACCAGAGGAGCGCTCTGCTCCGCTGCGATTCCGAAAATTAAAACGCATTATTTTGTGTGGCTATCCGGAGGAGTTAATTGCCGTCAATTGTTTTGTAACCCTGAGGCGTTTCTTTCTTTTCATTTTATTTTTTTACCTCCTCAGGTTTCTGTTCGATCATTGCTGGGGGTGGATTTTACTGTTGCCATGGCGAATGCACACATGTTGCCATCCTCTTGTTTGAGGCGTGTCATGTCTGTGTGAGTAGTGGATAGGGGTGGGGGGGAGGGTCGTATTGACTGTGCTAGTTATTTACATCTTCGCGTTCATCCATCCACACACATTAGCACGTGGATCAATCCTACTCCCACGCAGCCGTGGTTTACCGAGGCCTCTAATGGACACCGATCAAGGCTCAATCATAATGAGACAAAAAGGAAATTGCATTAGCAAGTTGGCGGTTCACCGAAGGAGATACCGTTCCTAACTGATATAAATAGCAGCAATCATGCCTTAATTTAAATGTTCCAATGTTGTTCTGGATACTTCATTAGAGGCTGATGTCATGCCCCCACGGAAGCAAAGCATTCCAGGCACTCGCTCGCTTTTCCTGCTTTTGCTGATGACAGTGAAGTCGGTGGAAGGAGGCGTGAGGCTAAAAACAGCACTTTTGATCATAGACACTTGAGCTACCATCCTACGGAACAGTCTACACGTGGTCATCTCAAAATAACGTGCTAGCAATGGTTCATTTTGGGCCAGCTTTGTGTACGCCACAGAACATTTCTGTTTCATGTTTTGTTTTGTTTTTTTCGCATTCGGCAAAAGTCATCCTGTACGGTGGATGTCAACACAAACATGTTGAGGTTTTCGTTCTATGAAAAAAAAAAAAATAGGCCAAGGTTAACAATTTGTAAAAGTTTTCCACGATAGAAGCTGTACTACTCAATTTGGGGGGAAAAAAAGAGGAAAGTAAAACCAAGGCATATAATTTGGTTTGACAAAACCAGCTTAAAGTTTCTGCCAGAAAAAAAAAAAAAAAATTAGCAGACAGGAAAGCCAACTTAAAATAAAAATTTCATTTGAGGTTAATCGGAGTAACTAAGTGGTGGCATAAACCCGTTTATGCCGGAACGTCTTTTATTTCAAAAATGGATCAGCGCCCGCAAGCATGACCGCGTGGCGGCGTTTTAATGATACTTAATATCTAACCAACTCAGTCTTCATTCCTCTCACTCCAAAATAGACACGCGCAACACGGGCGCACATAGTCTTTATATACGTCCAAGGTTAATGATCATATTTGTAACTTGAAGAGAAAGTGTGAAGCTACTATTTCTATTTGGATGGCATAAATGTACACTAGGAATTTGAACTATTACCACTTTGGCAGCCCATCTGGTGCAGCAGTTTTTTTTTGTTTTGTTTTTTAACACCGTAACGCCAGCTGCTCATTCAACCATCAATATTTTTGTGTGATTAAATTAAAAATCCAATTTTACTGGACAGCGAAATGTGTGGGAAGTGTTCATGTGTTGAATTTCTTGTCATAATATCCACTTCAAACAGAAAACAGACTCACCCCTCGTGGCTTTGTCGGCAAAACGCAATCCTCCGGCATTAAATGGGCGCTCGGCCAATTCTTTGATACTGTCAATTTTTTTTCTTTCTTTCCTCCTTCCGCTTGGCAGAGTTTTTGACTCCCTCCGGCTTTTTGCCTGTCAGCGTGGCGCTTTGATTCCTTTCTCTGAACGTTGGCTTCACACCTTCCCTCGCCGGCTCTTTGGTCCCCTCCCCTTCTCCCTCTCGCTGACTTTGTTCTTCCCCGCTTGACTCTCCAACGAGGTGAAAAACACGGTTGTCAAATACCGGTTGGTCATCCCGACGTCGCACATCCTCATCAGTTGCTAAGGAGCTTCAATATCGCGCCATAACGTGCTGAATCGTCCGAGTCTATTTCTGGGACAAGATGCAACAGCTGTTTTTTTGCAGCGAGGGGCCACGTCGGTACTGTCAGAACCTTTTCCCCGTTAAATTGTGATTTAGCTGTCCTAGAGAGACACAAAACAAATCACAAGAGTCTATATTGATATAGATGTATATCTCAAGGTCTTCTTTCTTCCCAGAAGACCCAAGAAAGCTTATAAAAATCATTTTTCACTCACCCTGCAAAGTTTTATTCACTCCGTTGGCCCTCCTTGCCGCAACTCTGGTTGTTGATGCGCAAGGGTTTGATGCTCCTGTCCTCAAGCAAATTGCTGATCCAAAGCACCGATTCCAAAGCGCACGCGTCTGATAGCTTCATCCTGTACCAGGGTACTGAGCAACATGGAAGAGGATGGAGGGAAAGGTGAGGAGGTGGTGGAGTAGAAGGAGTACAGTCAAGCATACGGGGGGAGGAGTCTGAGGAGGAGTCAATGTGGATGGATGTCTTTGCAAAAGGGACGATGTTTTGCTGAAGCACCTGTTGTACGCAGTGTTGATTGATTTGATTCTTTGACAAATCAGGCTTCTCTCCAGATGAACAAATGCACCGTTTGAGGGGATGCTTAACCCTTTCGTGCACTGTAGTGACTGCTGTCGTGACCACTGTGTCCCTGAAAGGGTTAAAGAGGTTCACAATTTACTGAATATATTGCCGACAGATAGTGGAGAACGGTGTCATTGTCTGAGCTGTCTTTGTCATTTCCAAACTCCAATGATTTCAAATCAGTGCGGCGTCAAACGAAGCACTGAGTCATTCAATGTCAGGATTCTCTTACCTCAATTAAAGATAATTGCTTTGTACGATCCATGTCTCCCACATTGATGCTCCCTATTATGTGATGAATAACAGTTGTCATGCCAATAGAACCCTTGATCCCCCCCTCCTCCCCCTCCTGATGCGTATCCATCGAATGTTACATTTGGCAGTGACTTTTGACACTTGCCCAAGATGGACCAATGATTCAAGTCTGACGTCGACCTAAAGCGCCGACAAGAGCCATGGCAATTTGTCACACCGAGATCAATGACGGCCATTTAAAAGCCAGAAAACAAGGTCGGCTTTCGTTGCTCACAGCATTCAACAATTCCAGCGATGACACACGTAGGAGACAGTTGTCACAAATAGCCACCTCATCTACATGTATTTGTTTAAACACATTGTAGCATCTATTCATTAGCCCAGTCGAGGTTATTTGTCCCGAACCGCTTTTGTTTGTTTGTACGATTACTGTGAATTAACACATGAATCTTGATGACTAAAATTGGTCGAAACCAAACGTGTACAATTTGCTCTACAAGTCGGAGGTTTGGCCTTGGCTCAGATTCACCATAAACAAAGTGCGCTGTACGCATCCACTTTTGAGGATCACTTTATGATCACAGATAACTTTGGTCTCTTGTTGAAATGCCTTTGCAGTTTTCAATTCTATTTTATGTGTGTTTTGTCACTTGTAAAGTACTGCGGCCCTTGTGGGGAAGAAAAAAAAAGGAATGTCTAAGCCTTCTGTTACTTTGGTGCTTGTTCAAAGGCAAAGTACCAAGTCTTTATTTAGCCGTCAGTGGGTGCATTGTTCTTATTCTGTCTCCTTTGAGCGTGAGAAGAAACACTGATAATCTGTTGTCTCTTTGGTTTTCAAGTTGAAAAATATACTGTTGCGGCACACAACTTGATTTTGTTTTTTTTAATTGTCTTTTTTTCTGAATTTGGTTCCCATCCATTCATTTTTTTTTGTGGAACGTGCTAGCAACAAAACCAGAAAGTAAAAGATTTAAAATAGGCATCCATCCATTTTCAACACTGCGTTTGCTGCTCAGGGCCTTGGCAAGCTGGCGCCTTCGCCATCTGATTAAAAGGCAGATTACACCCTCGACTGAGCCATCGTCTTTTTGGAAGTTTGTCATAAGATTCTTGTTGCCATGGCTATGTCAATGCCGACTGATTACCTGAACTGATATGTTCCATGGATCGAGGTTGAGGGTGTCAGAGGGCTCCTATATCGTGTAGGAGGCAGGTTGTTCGCCAGTTACCGACCGAAGGAGACGGTGCAGGAGGAGGATGAGAATTCGGGGCTGAAGGGATATTAAGCAGAGTAACAGAAGAGTAAACACGGGACATCCATGGTGCTGAAGTTTTTTTTTTTCTAATTTACCATTCTGCCAAAGATTTCCCAGTTGCCCTGTTACCCAAACCAATTTCAATTTGTTTCGTAAGATTCTATTAAAAAAAAAAAAAAAAAAAAAAGAAAAATGAGTCTCAGTAGCTGGAGGCATTGGGGGGGGGGGGGAAGTGTCTCTATTACCAGAGAAGGCGATGATGGGATTTCAGTGACACCGTTTTGCACGTTTCATTTGCTTCGTGGGCTGTCTGAGAAATGAGAAGTTCAGTTTTGATGCCTCGTTTACTGATTGCATTTGAAGATGACAGTACTGAGGTTTCAGAGTAAACATTGAGTGGCTCTGCAATCTTTTTTTTTTAACCCACTTTTGTCCTATTGCTCATTTGTCATGCCGCTTTGGGTTATAATTAGGATTGGTTGACAAAGTGATTGTCTTGCCATACACCAGCAGCTGTTGCATGATTTCATCCCGCTGTCACGTGAAGCTGACCATCTTCAGCTTCTGTCACCTTGAAAGCGGTTCTTTTCACACCTCATTTTTCTCTCGCCGCCAGAGAGCAAAAACCCTCCCACAGATTCTCCTTTTTGACCCCCATCACTTTCTGTATTGCAAAGCAGTCAAGGACAACCACAGATGGTCCCGAGTGCCACGCATGAAAGCAGCACGTCCGCAATATTAGGCACACCGGGCATGCTAGCGAGCGACGACCGCTCTTCTGTCAGGTCTCCAGCTGAGCCTCCATCTGTGTTTGTCAGACTGACCCGTGGTCCGCTGTTTGTGACTCCGCCCTGAGAGTACACCTGCTGACTGTTTAGCATTGATGTGGCTTCGGTTTGGAGCCAAGCGGCCACCATCATCAGAGACTAGTTCTGGCTTAGTCTTATTTTCGTGTCCTCCTTGCTCAAAATCAGCCTCCTGTCCTTTATTCTGTGTAAAAGTTGTAGTTCTAGATGATGTTACATATATAATTTTTTTTTTTGATTGAGCGCATAGCCACTAGGGCGTCGCTAAAGAGCTGCGGGTCACTGACCCCCCCCCGACTTAACTTGTCGCTTGTCAGACTTTTGAACAATGGCAATTATAGACTTCCCCCTTTTTATCTTCAAACAAATTTGGTTCGGAAATGATTTTGTCTGCAATATTCCCAGCCACCTGTTTATTGCACTTCAAATGACATATTCCTGCTCGGATGTGGAGATGAGCGCAATTATAATGAGAGCTTTGAAGAGCCCTTCATCCCTGACGGCCAGTGCCTGTTCTCATTTTACAGTTCTTGTGGGTGATGTGTTCCAGCATGTCCATTCGCACACCATTTGCCACTAGAGCTAAAAAAGATGTTCACAAGTTGGGGCTGACGGATGGACGTGCTTCTGCAGCTTTCCGACTTGTTGACAACGCAACCTCTGTGCTTACATGCTTCCGAGAGCCCTCAGTGCGTTTTTTGCTTCTTTTTTTTTTTGTGGGAAAGCAACATGTTGGTACTGTTCTTGACTCTTTACACAACACCTATGATTGCTTTGCTTTGTTTGGAAATGAACAAATGTGTCATGACATCGTCCGGTAAATCAGATTGCTCTCAAAATGGCTGAAGTGTTAAATCAAATACTGTCATCCTCAGGGGATTGCTTCACTCAATTCCGCTTTGCTGAAGAAAAAGACTGGGAGAAGGACACGTTTTCTTCCAGTCAGGTAAATCTATACTCTTGCTTTGAAAGCCGTTGATTCGTCAAGGTGACCTAATATGTGGTGCACATTTTGGAACAGCATGATTGATTCAATATTTCCATCCCCCCACCAACACCGAAGCCTAATTTACTTCTTTTTCCAAACGAGGGTTGCTTATTGGCTTGAAGAATTCCATTTAGAAGCACACTGCTAATATTCACACATTAGCTTTCTCTTCACTGAATGTATGAGCCGCATGTTTTCATATGTACTTTACTGTTTGGTTTTTGTTCAAGATATCTACCATGATTGTGGACCTCCCGGCGTTGGCCAAGAGACTCGAACAAGTGCCTCTTCATCAGAGGCTCTACCTGGAAGCTGAGCTCATTCAGGTAGCTAGTGAAATGGCGCGCAAGAGTATTCAACATCATGATTTGTTTCCTCTTGAGAATCGTACACGTTGCGCAGGATTAATGACACTGGAGAATGGAGACTCGCACCGAGATGAAAAGTTTTACGAGAAGACAAAGTAATCTATACAAATAAACCGTTTCGAAGTCATGTCTTCTTGTTTTATATTGCAGGTTTCAACACCAGTCAATTTGCCCACAATGACTTTGGCCCCCAAACAGGAGACGCCCTCCTTTACCCCATCATCCGTACTGCCAAAAGACCCCGACACTGATCTTAATCTCACCAAGACTTTAAGCAGCGCCGCCAGCTCTGACTTTCGGGCTCCCTCGAGGACTGTTCCGCTCTCGGTGGAGGACGTGGATGAAGAGTTGGACCAGCTGCTCACTTTAGCGAAACCACTGTGTCCTGTCTCAGGAGGCCACTCTGTCAACGTTGAGAGCCCCGATGTGATGAAAGGTTAGCACCGAGCATGATAATGAGTTCAGTTCATAATGCAGATGTGCATTTCAATGCATTTTGCTTGTACGATAGAAAAATGTTCACTAATTAAATAACTAGCCAAATGGCATTAATTGATGGCAGAATCTCCCCTAATGTTCTGAACTCCTGCTGTAATTTCAGTGTGAATTGAGCAGATTAATGATATCCGAAGGCCAGGTCTACACGGATGTAGCGCAACTTCCCATAGTAGGATAACAGATTATTTTTTCCTGAGACCAGGGTTTACCTGCATGGCAGATTAACAGAACTTAATTGTCGCTAGGTGTGACTGTGCGCGAAAGGTTGTTCGATTTTGTATGCCCTGCGATTGGCTGGTAACCAGCTCGGTAGCTTCTTGTGCCGGGGGGAAAACAAGGCTTTCACTGATGTCTTCTTTCAAACCTCAGATTGTGATGCAGTGACTGAGGTACCAAGAGAAGAGAAGATAGAAGAGGCCAAAGAAAACCAAATTTCACCCCCTGAGTCCAATTCTGTCAGGCAGGAAATGACTGAGGAGGACCTGGAAGACTGGTTGGACAGCATGATCTCCTGACGATCAGAGACGTCGATTATGGCCCAAAAACAGGAGCTGCAAGCAAAAACCTGGACAAGTAGAAACCAAAACACACACACGGTATCGCGCCCTCAAGATGTTGAATCAAATAGGCACATTGGTTGTGTTTAGCTCGATTGCCCCCCACCCCCAAAGCAAAATGACAGAGGCTGGGTCAGGAATTTTGTTTCGCTGAGAAACGCTGCACAAAATGCGCAGCTCTGCATTGATTGACTCGTGTCATTTGGCGGCTGGGTGATTAAGTGCTCCCTCCATGAATGAAAATATAAATTACCGTTTCATTTCTTCATCGCTTTTGTCGACATACAGTGGGGCTGCTTGTGAACAAGTAGCCACTTGCATCCCTTGTCGCAGTGCCCGAGCTCTGCCCCTGGTTGTCATGGTAACAAATGGTTATAATACCTCCTTTAAGTAGATGAGTGTTAAAATGAGTGTGATTGCAGTGAGTCTTATCAGAGGTCAGATTTTTACCTTGGACCGATCAAATATGTCAGTATTAGAACAGAGAAACAAGCATGTGGGTCTTATTGCCTCAGTTAGCTTTATTCGTTCCTGTCATCTCATTCAAATAAATGCAAAACTACTACCTGTGAGTGTGTGGGCGTGTAATGTAAGTTTCCATAAAACAGCAGCTGATTTAGCATCATTGTGTTTTTCTTCTGTTTTCTGTTTGGCTCCTCTGGAGTGGAAACAAGTGCAAACAGGCATGAGAATACAAACTGAGCAACATTTACACATCTAGATTTTATACAACAAATGTTTTTTGTTTTTCTCCTTGAACATAAAAGCCACAAAATTAGCACAACCGTGACCACTTTTTGAGTCAAGAGGGACAAAAGTGTCCTTTTGCATAGTTTCTCAAAAGGCACTGTGGCATTTAAATTGTATCATAAAGTGACAAGTCATGTTTACAACAGTTTTTTTTTTTTTTGAAAGGCAGATGTGAGGTCTCATTTCTGTGTTCAGTGTGATCAAAAATAAACATTTGATGTCAAGTTTCACATGTGTCGGAAAATTCAGGTTGAGCAGGTGAAAAGGTGATTTGCATAAAAGCGAGTGTCATGGCATTCTGGTACCAACCTGGATGCCGCCTATTGATCCAAATTCAGTGTCATTTATTTCTGAAATGTTGCTACATTTATCAGCAAGTTTTCTGGTGAACTCGAGTGAAGTCATGTTCACAGTCTGATTCAGATCATAGAAAGTCACCAGATAACGCTGTCATTAGCCCAACTGGTCCTCGTATTGCTTCCGGAAACAGTCTCCGGTTGGGAAGAAGTCCCAGCATCTTTCCTGGTACATCGTCCACACATACGACTCCTGGAGGGAAAAGGACAACGCTAATTTGGAGTGAACCTTGAACATTTTCGCATGTAACAATACAGGTTAATTGTCAAAACAATTTCCTTCGCGCCACCTGTTGTTGTGGCATGCGTGACTTTTATGCGGACCGACACTTGAAAACGCTGCAAGTAAGGATTTTTTTTTTCCCTGGAGTGTTGGAACAGTTGTTTTTAATACCCACGTTGACTGTGGAAATGGTCCAATTAGTATTATGGCTTCAAGCCATCTCACGCTCCACTGCTTACATTTTTATGATCTACAGTTAGACCTTCGTTGTCGTTAAACGATTGCCTTTATGGCGCATCATCTGCACAACTTTTATTGTTGTGACTAATAAGAACATTATGAAGCGTCACTTTTTAATATTCCAAAATGGATTCTATTTCAGTCAAATGATACGTTCACATCTGTACGGCGGCATTACATTACGATTCTGGCGGATTAGTTGAGTGTTTCAAAATGAGAAAATATGATATCGTCCTTCAAATTACAAGAGCGTGACTGCAGATTTGGTGACATGCAGCTGGGATGCGAAAGACTTCAAAAGTGTAGTCGTTATTGACTTTGTCTTGCCTCGTCTGGTCGCAGCTTTGAGAATCTCTGCTAAATGACAATCAACCGTAGTGCATCTTTCAAGGAGGCCAATAACAAGGTAATGGCAAAAAAGTCAAAGCAAACCCACGCATTGTTTCCTCCTCCTGCAAAGCTGCACTTATGCAACCCATCAAGTGGGCTGAAACAAGTGCAACCAACTAAGTGAAGGGTCAGAAACACCAGTGTCTTTCTTCATCTGCATGTTTTTCTTGCTTCATGTCCCATTTCGACATCACAGGGATGTGTGAGTTTAAATTTAAATCTTCTGTCTTGTTATAGTCACGTACCTGGCCTGTGTGTTCCGTCTCATCCTTGTTAATCAGGTACATCAGGAAGAACCTACAGCCAGGAAGTGCAGTTAGCGTGTTGGTAAAATAAGACACATTTCATACATATGTGTATATTTTCAGGGTTATTTTTGTAGCGCTCACAGGTAGTTTGCAAGGTTGTGCTCTTGTAAAGTGTGAGTTTCAAAACCGTGAGGCGTGCGATCAAAGTAGTCGTTCCCGATGCCACAGATGAAGCATTTGGTCTGAGAGAGGAGCCAAAAGGAGAGAACAGAATTAGCCTTATCGTCAATCAAATTGTCTGCTAGCTTAACCTTTGTAACGTCCTAATGACACGAACCAAGATTTGCTGAGGTCTCACTAGAGTGTAGTTGAGACTTCAGTCGACTCCTGCATATTCGCAGTTCGGCGAGGTAAATAAAAATAAATAATAAAAAAATGGGAGGGTGGGGGTAATTAATTCATGGGCCCCTCAGAGTGTGGCTGCCAGTTGCCCATCCCTTGTGTAGTCAAAGCAGTGTTGCTCAAAATGAATAACATGTTTACAATTTGAAGAGACTCACCTCCCAGGAATAATCCCCATCCACACCTTTTTAAGTCTTTCTGTAGCAGTGACAATGACATTCTATTCAATTTAATTCTATTGTGTGCAACCTTGTTTGCTTTGGTGTAGAGCTCCAGTGCGCCAATTAATATTTCAGTTAGTTTTTATTAGCTACATGGGAGTGGAGTGGTGTGGTGAAAGCACCATATGGGCAAAATGTCTTTTAGGACTATCCTCTTTTACTCGATTTTAGCTTGTCAGGTTTTGGTCCAGAACCCCGAGACACAAATGACTTCTCACCTCCATGTCCTCCTTCACTTGCTCCTGTTGGTCTCTCAGCTCACCAAAGGCATCAATGATCAAACCTGTAGGAGAGTGGAACAGTCAGGGTGGGGATGATTGACCATGACACTTAACCAAGGACAGAATGGTTTTCATTTTTTAAGACATCAGGGAGCAAGGAGGCTAAGCTACCCTGAATGATGGCCAGCAAGATGACGATGACAAAGAAGAAGAAGGTGATGTCAAAAAGGATGCGGTAGAGCTCGTAGGGGTCCCCAGCTGGGTCCTCCAACTCATCTCCGATACCACCCCCAGCTCTTACACCCACGTACATGTGGAACAGATAGCACTGTTGCAAGGAAGCAAATGAAAACAGGAAATGCAGTCTGTTAAATAACATTCTAAGGTAGAACATGTTTTTTTTCCTTTTACGCTGGTTCACAGCGTTCAGTGTGCCACTTGAAAAGTTAAAAAGAGGCAACAATTCCTCCAACTAATTACATTCAACCAAGTCTGCATACTTTGCTTCCATTCAAAACAAAAGCCTAATCAATCTTCTTTCAAATGGGGCCTTGCTCAAGGCTGCGGCTGCTTTACTGCACAAAAGCTTAGTCACTGCTTCTTTTATTTTCGATCAGGATTTTAATTGACTCGGGTTAATAAAGGTAGTGGGGGTGGCTTGCCATACCGTCATCATGTCGTCACACTTCATGTCAGGCTCATCTTCGTCCTCACTCTTATTGTAGAACCTTCGGAAAAAGTTGAAGGCCACCACAGTGTAGAGATATACAACCACTGCCAGCAGACCCACTGTCAGCACCAGCTGAGAGAAGGAAGGAGTCGATAAAACTCAATCAAGCCAATTTTACCAAAAATGTGCACAGTTGCAAGCCACCACTAACGCAGTATAGCAATGTTTATTTTACATTAGACTGAATTCTCTAGCCTCCATTATGCCATTAGTACATTTCAATGTCATTCACGGTACTTTCGGAATTATCTACACGACAGATAGCAGAATTTGTGTAACTCTGCCTCTGTACATCGAGTATCCTTCTTGCTGTAATGGTTTGCTGCTATCATTGTTCCCTCAGCGACAATATGCTAAACTCCCAGTTACACCTAATGATATTTTAGTATTGAATTTCCCTCGCGCTAAAAACATCAAAGTGGAAACTGATTAAGATTTTTGACGATTGAAAAGAAAGCTGATGAACAGTCACTCAGCTGACCCGGAGCTTGAAAATTCTCTCCTGTGGCTCCCCCTGCTGGTGACAACACTTACTTGCTTGCCGTTATGTGTGACTGAAGACAGGATGGTACGGAGAGTCTTGAAGCCCATGGCAATGTCCAGCAGGTGGGCAGCAAAGAAGAAGTTATTGAAGTGTCCAAAAATGGACATGGTGGTGTACCAGATTAGATACAGGAAAGACTGTAAAAGAAAGACGCTGGTATCGTTAGATGATGTTTGTCGACTGGAAACTAGTAAACCCTTTAACAGACTGCACAAAAAAATGAATTCTCACTGACTAAGGAACATGGTTGTTCTACCATATAACTTACATTATCAGTCAGAACCACTCCCAATTTCCAAATGTGGTATTTGGTGTCAATGGAGCTGAGCCTGTCAACACAAGCACGGTGGTGAAGGCATTAAAACCCAAGGCAATGATGATGTGATTTTTGAAATTTAGATACAAATGTAGAATAGGAAAAAAAAGCATTGGACTGGGGTGATTTACAAAAGCACACTTGTCATGTAATTTGCCTTTCTGAACACATAAAACACACAGTTAACATTTTCAGCCAATGTAACGTCTACCCGAGTGTGAAGTCTCCCCAGGTGTAATGTGTGTTTTAACACATCCAAAACTACATGTCAAGGTGCAAAACAGCAGTTGTGTTCTCACCAGGAGAGCAGTGAAGCTTCCTTCTCTACAGTCTCCGCCGTGGGGTCAAAGTCCAGGGCACTCTTATCCAGGCCTAAGAGTTCGGCGATGCGCTCTGCTCCATATAAGTCCCCATATTTGTTGATCACCTACACATATATGGAGAGAAGTGCCCTGGAGTCTCTCATGTGCTTTGCGGTTCACACTCACTTTATGGTGACAACATAAATCACTAAAAGTGCCATTAATGTAGTCAGACAATAGAAAGAGAAAAATAATCTTGATATAAGAAGATGTTTTGTGTGAACAAAAGTAGCGTAGGGACTCTAAGGTGAGAGTTTTAAACTAATATATGATGGCAGTATTATAGTTGACACTCGCCTTGCGCTTGATGAACTTGTCCCAGTAGTTACTGGGAAAAGACCTATAATAGAAAATGGGGGCGAAATAAGAAAATCTTACACTCTTGCACTGCAACTTGCATCAATACAAACTGGGCATTTGTTATCATATCAAACGGCAACAACAGAATTATGATCACCTTTTATGCTCAAACTGTACAGACAATTTTGCTGATAAAGTTATGAGGGAAAAACAACAATAAGATTTTCATCTTTAAACATCATTCCACTTTTAAATTGCTCACGGACCATCCTGCAAGTTAATAAATCAAAGCATGTAAAAGCAATCCCCAGGATAC